CACAGCACAGCATATACTTCTTGTTTGGTTTTGGCTTATTCAAGGTAATGAATGGCCTAGCCTAGCAGTAGTCAACACCAAAACAGACGTTTCTTAGTAGGAGTGTTCAAATTTTTGATCGGCCGCAATTTTTTATCTTACCCTATCCTATCCAACCCTAAAAATCAACTAGTCGCAAAAATCGGGTAAGAATGCAGAAGAGTTTTTGGTCTTTCGATTAAATTGGGTAGGAATGCGGAATAGTCATTCATTTTCGCATTCCTACCCTATCCTACCCGCATTAATTAATTTTTTTAATATATATATATAAAATAAAAAACCCTAATTGCTAACATTTTACTCATCTGTTCGAAGGCATCCTTTGAGAGGCGCCTCAACCACAGTCCCACTGCTCTTCCATTGTTAAGGACCTTCAGCCTTCACTTCAGGTACTCTCTCTCACTCTCTCTGTGTACGCGATCTGGACCATCTAGTCTAATCGCATCACGATCTCAGATCTGGTCTGGACCGTCTGATCTGATCGCGATCTCAAATCTAGTGTGGCCTGGACCGTCTGATCTTAGATCTTAGAAAAGGTATCCATGGTTCACTGCTTTAAGCAAGCTTATGTGGGGGCTGGGGGTGATGCTTTCGGCTCCGAGGGNATCCTACGCGACGTCGACAATCCAAACGTGGTGAGGTGCCATGACATGTTCGATCACAATGGCGAGATTCAAGTCCTCCTGGAACACATGGATGGTGGATCACTGGAAGGAGCCCACATCCTCCACGAACCCTCTCTCTCAGATGTCACCCGTCAGATCCTCTTGGGGCTATTCTACCTCCACAAGCGAAAAATTGTCCACAGAGACATCAAACCCTCGAATCTCTTAATCAATTCAAGAAAACAAGTGAAGATCGCGGATTTTGGAGTTTCTAGAATTCTTGCCCAGACTATGGATCCCTGTAATTCAGCGGTTGGTACGATTGCGTATATGAGTCCTGAAAGGATCAACACGGATCTGAATCATGGGATGTATGATGGGTATGCTGGGGATATATGGAGCTTAGGAGTAGGCATCCTCGAGTTTTATCTGGGTCGCTTTCCTTTTGCGGTGGGAAGGCAAGGTGATTGGGCGAGCCTTATGTGTGCAATCTGTATGTCGCAGCCACCGGAAGCACCGGCGACGGCGTCCAGGGAGTTGAGGGAATTCATCGCTTGTTGTTTGCAGAGGGATCCGGCTAGGAGATGGACGGCCGGCCAGTTGTTACGTCATCCTTTCATTGTGCAACACAGCTCTAGCACCACCAACCATGGCAGTAATCAGGTTCATCAACCACGCCAACTTTTACCTCCACGTCCACATTTTTCTTCTTCTTGATTTTTATTTTGTTTCTATTTTTTTTTTTGGTCTCTGTGGAATTTTTTTGTGAAATCATATGATGATGGGCGGTGATGGGTCGGAATTTGATTTTTAGGAAATGAATTGGAGAAATGGGAATGGGGTTTATGTTACTTGGGTGTTTCAATCAACCGATGTATGTTGTTGTCTTCTGATAATGTTTTGACCAGAAAAGGAAAAGTCTATCAACTTTCACTCACTTATATATTATTATTATTATTATTATGCAGTTTCTTTTTTCCGGTTGTGCTTGATATTGCATTAATTAATTAATGGAATACAAACAAAATAGAGTTGTTAATTTGCGTAGGAAAAAAAAAAAATACAAAGATTAGATGGGGTTTTGAAGCCTACTTGATGATGATCATCATTGTGGTTGTGGATGTGAGAGAGAGGAGAGGTTGCACTTGCACACATTATTACTTCCTTTCCTACAATCTTGATCTTACCACATTACATTACATTACATTACATAGCTGTTCTGTTCAAATGTTGGATTGGAATCTTAAGTATTTGCATTGTTTTTTATTTATGGTTGATGGCAATAACTTTAGACTAGACTAGACTAGACAAAAGTTTTTGAGTGAGTAGAGGATTTTTCANATCGAGATCCTACGCGACGTCGACAATCCAAACGTGGTGAGGTGCCATGACATGTTCGATCACGATGGCGAGATTCAAGTCCTCCTGGAACACATGGATGGTGGATCACTGGAAGGAGCCCACATCCTCCACGAACCCTCTCTCTCAGATGTCACCCGTCAGATCCTCTTGGGGCTATTCTACCTCCACAAGCGAAAAATTGTCCACAGAGACATCAAACCCTCGAATCTCTTAATCAATTCAAGAAAACAAGTGAAGATCGCGGATTTTGGAGTTTCTAGAATTCTTGCCCAGACTATGGATCCCTGTAATTCAGCGGTTGGTACGATTGCGTATATGAGTCCTGAAAGGATCAACACGGATCTGAATCATGGGATGTATGATGGGTATGCTGGGGATATATGGAGCTTAGGAGTAGGCATCCTCGAGTTTTATCTGGGTCGCTTTCCTTTTGCGGTGGGAAGGCAAGGTGATTGGGCGAGCCTTATGTGTGCAATCTGTATGTCGCAGCCACCGGAAGCACCGGCGACGGCGTCCAGGGAGTTGAGGGAATTCATCGCTTGTTGTTTGCAGAGGGATCCGGCTAGGAGATGGACGGCCGGCCAGTTGTTACGTCATCCTTTCATTGTGCAACACAGCTCTAGCACCACCAACCATGGCAGTAATCAGGTTCATCAACCACGCCAACTTTTACCTCCACGTCCACATTTTTCTTCTTCTTGATTTTTATTTTGTTTCTATTTTTTTTTTTGGTCTCTGTGGAATTTTTTTGTGAAATCATATGATGATGGGCGGTGATGGGTCGGAATTTGATTTTTAGGAAATGAATTGGAGAAATGGGAATGGGGTTTATGTTACTTGGGTGTTTCAATCAACCGATGTATGTTGTTGTCTTCTGATAATGTTTTGACCAGAAAAGGAAAAGTCTATCAACTTTCACTCACTTATATATTATTATTATTATTATTATGCAGTTTCTTTTTTCCGGTTGTGCTTGATATTGCATTAATTAATTAATGGAATACAAACAAAATAGAGTTGTTAATTTGCGTAGGAAAAAAAAAAAATACAAAGATTAGATGGGGTTTTGAAGCCTACTTGATGATGATCATCATTGTGGTTGTGGATGTGAGAGAGAGGAGAGGTTGCACTTGCACACATTATTACTTCCTTTCCTACAATCTTGATCTTACCACATTACATTACATTACATTACATAGCTGTTCTGTTCAAATGTTGGATTGGAATCTTAAGTATTTGCATTGTTTTTTATTTATGGTTGATGGCAATAACTTTAGACTAGACTAGACTAGACAAAAGTTTTTGAGTGAGTAGAGGATTTTTCAGTATTCAAAATGTGGGTGGAACTTTATCTTTAACCTTCTCCTCCCTTTCTTTATTTTATGATGGGAGCAGTAGCAGATGCAGATGCCAATAATGGACGGGAGGAGATGCCAATAATGGCTACAAGTAAGATAGATCAGTGACTGTCTATCGTATGCTTTACTTTTTCCTTTAACAGTGCAGTGACACAACCCTCCTCCTGTTAGTGGATTNTAACAATAAGAGATGTTCCACAGTTACGTCTTCCTCTCCACAAATTGAACATGTAGGCTTTTGAGAGAGTTTACTTTCTCCATAGTGCCTATTTGGTTGCCAGTGCTCCATTTGTAACCTTCTATAAAAAAGAATAAATTTTTTGAGGTGATTTTAAGCCCCAAATCATTTTCTATAGAATGATGAGCTTCCATAGAAAGATGAGTNCCAGTGCTCTATTTGTAACCTTCTATAAAAAAGAATAAATTTTTTGAGGTGATTTTAAGCCCCAAATCATTTTCCATAGAATGATGAGCTTCTATAGAAAGATGAGTTTGCAGTTATGTTATATTGATGGGGACCTGAAGATTGTTTCAACATGTGATAGCCACTTCTCACTGTGTAGTAGCTTGAATTTGTATGGGACCATCTTAGAATATCCTGTTGCAGTGTTTTCTGCTAACAGAATTGGATTTGTAGCCACACATTTTGTTCATATTTTGAAGTAGATGATCTAAAAACTATTGTTTGAAAAATGNAGGAGATGGACGGCCGGCCAGTTGTTACGTCATCCTTTCATTGTGCAACACAGCTCTAGCACCACCAACCATGGCAGTAATCAGGTTCATCAACCACGCCAACTTTTACCTCCACGTCCACATTTTTCTTCTTCTTGATTTTTATTTTGTTTCTATTTTTTTTTTTGGTCTCTGTGGNTCACCACTAGGCATCAGAGAAGTTCTTTTAGGTATTGTGGACTCTATTAGAATTTTACTGAATTTGTTGTTTTGAATTTGTTATTTTGTTTTGTTAACAGATTCATTCCTTATGGATGAAATTACTCCATNGTAATTTTTTTGTGAAATCATATGATGATGGGCGGTGATGGGTCGGAATTTGATTTTTAGGAAATGAATTGGAGAAATGGGAATGGGGTTTATGTTACTTGGGTGTTTCAATCAACCGATGTATGTTGTTGTCTTCTGATAATGTTTTGACCAGAAAAGGAAAAGTCTATCAACTTTCACTCACTTATATATTATTATTATTATTATGCAGTTTCTTTTTTCCGGTTGTGCTTGATATTGCATTAATTAATGGAATACAAACAAAATAGAGTTGTTAATTTGCGTAGGAAAAAAAAAAATACAAAGATTAGATGGGGTTTTGAAGCCTACTTGATGATCATCATTGTGGTTGTGGATGTGGATGTGAGAGAGAGGAGAGGTTGCACTTGCACACATTATTACTTCCTTTCCTACAATCTTGATCTTACCACATTACATTACATAGCTGTTCTGTTCAAATGTTGGATTGGAATCTTAAGTATTTGCATTGTTTTTTATTTATGGTTGATGGCAATAACTTGAGCCTTATTATTAGCTAGACTAGACTAGACAAAAGTTCTTGAGTGAGTAGAGGATTTTTCAGAAGAATTTGTATTCAAAATGTGGGTGGAACTTTATCTTTAACCTTCTCCTCCCTTTCTTTATTTTATGATGGGAGCAGTAGCAGATGCAGATGCCAATAATGGACGGGAGGAGATGCCAATAATGGCTACAAGTAAAGATAGATCAGTGACTGTCTATCGTATGCTTTACTTTTTCCTTTAACAGTGCAGTGACACAACCCTCCTCCTGTTAGTGGATTGCAGGAGAAGTATTCTTTTTAATTACTTTATTATTAAATTCCAATTTATTTATTTCATGCACGCCTGCTTGGCTGCAGAGATAGATATGGTGCTTCCAATGTATTTATGTTGTGCCATTTTGTTTTCCTTACTTTGGGTGGGGGTGGGGG